AAGCAAGTGTTCTTAGGTGTTATTCCCTGCAAGAGCAGCCCGTAGATTTTTTTGTTGAGCTCAGACTGCACATGTTTGATGGTGATAGGTGTGATTTTAGCAGAATACTCCTACCTCTGGAAGTGTGGGCTGGATCTCCATAATGCTTGCAGGCAGAAAGAAGCATGGAGTGCTCTTAAATATCCCAGTATATGGCTATGTGGATTTTGGGCTGCAGAAAGCACAGCCAACCAGAAAAAGAAGATGTCATGGCATTCCAATCACTGACCGTGGGAACTCTGCTCCAGAAACAATGATTCTATTCTCACCACTTTTCCTACAGACTTTGATCTTGATTTCCTGATGAAAAACACATTTTGCTTAAATCTGAAAAGAGGACTCAGGACTACTAAGCAAAGTAAAACACCTCTGATCTTGTAAGTGGTTTAGAAATGTGCGGAGGCTTTTGAAGCTCTGACTAAAAATTGTGAAGTACATGTTTTTTAGCTTTACTTCATTATTAAAGCACTATCCATTGTTTTTAGTTGCCCAACTCTCTCAAAACACACTACTTCTTTAGTCCTCAGTGGCTTCAATCGAGTGTAGGAAAAGTGTAAAAGAGTCTTATCATTCTGCCTTGGCAGAAGCTACTCTGGGTTTATGTAAATGCAGATGCAGCAGTATTTGTCCAAGAATATCTACTGCCGTATTTCCACTGTGAGGTTGAACAAAATGTTAACTATTTTTGGCTCATCGACGTAAAAAGATAAGGGACGTTTTTGAGGCATCTCTTCTCCCTGGGTCTGGCTCTAGAAAGAATTAACAACAAACCTTTTGTCAACACTTGTGTCTACTGAATTTTCACAGCTTCTTTTGCTCTTTCTCATAAGGGTGAGATTTGTGGCATGAAGCCAGATTTACCAATCCGAGCTTTTGAAGCACAGCTTCCATATTTTACAAATAAATACCTCAAGAAAGATTGGATTTTCCTGAAGCCCTTGCCAATAAAATATGCAAATATTGATAAATCCATCCATCCATCCATCCATCCATCCATCCATCCATCCATCCATCCATCCATCCATCCATCCATCCATCCATCCATCCATCCATCCATCCATCCATCATTCTCTCCTGCTTATTCATCAGGATAAGCGGGAGAACAGGCAGTGCGTTTTCTCCAGCAGTCTTTTGGCAAAAAAAAAAAAAAACAGGTCGCCATTCTGTCTTAAGGCTATTTACACATCAATGCCGTCTGAAGTAATGGTATAATGAAACTCAAAGCCAAAATGAGATTGCGAGATTAATATATAATTGCTTTTATTTACTTACATAAACTTACATAAACCTGCGTAGCTCTGTGATCCCATTGCATGTTCCTGCATCTGTATGTGGTGTTAGGATGCACTAGCTAGGGAATACCATTCTGTTTTAATTTTTTCAAACTCTAAAAGTTTGTTTTAATGTGCACCTCTGTTTTTTTGCGATTACACATATAGGAGTTTAGATAGATGGTCATTTATTAATTTTTTTTAACAATAAAACATTCATTACCTAAGAACTCAGAAAAAAGGTGCTAAAATGAAATCCAGATGTGATGTATTAAGATGATCATTGGCAAAGACTGTTTTCATAGATTACACATGAAAAGGAGAGTGCAGATTTCCATTTAACCATTTTTCCAATTTTTCAACCACTATACTTGATTATTCATGATTAAAAGTTCTTAAGAGTGTTTGACCTTTCAGAAACTGGATAATTTTAGTCTTGATCACTGGGATAAATGACCCCTTGAATTGGTTGTGAATACTTACAGAGATGAGTCAGTTATTGAAGTGTTTCCTGTACACTTCTTGCCAAAGCCGTTTCCATTTAACACAAAGTGCATTAGTCTCTTTAAGGTGAGACTCACATCTGCTTTGGTACATTACTCATTAGTATGAGAACAGAAATGGTCAGAATCAGCGGCCATACTGTAGAGAAAGTTCTTCAAATACTATGTAAACACACAAGCCTGATCAAAAATCAATTAAAATAGACCAATTAGTATTAAAGGTATTGTGGAGGATTTTCGCTAATTTTTTAAAAGACCGGCCCTCTCCACTTTAAAAAAAAAAATGCACATGCACAACCATGTACCCACTCCTGAGAAGGGACGTCTATTAAACTCATCTTAGAGCATGGACAAGCCCATTTCTCCATGTGCACGCTCTGTTTAAAAGTTGCTGTTCTCATACTGTAGCTCATACCAGCTTACTGTGCCCGAACATCCGCCCTAACCCCTACATCCCTCAATCACTATCTAGAGGGGGGACTATACAGCGGATTATATAGGGAACTCAGTTAACTTACCGTTCAGACAGCTGATAACTATTTTTTGTTCCCCGTTGTTCAGGTAGGTCCTCTTCCACTGTGCAGTGCCTGCGCCATCTTTGTTATTAGTCGCTGCCGTCGGGTAGTGACAGCCTATGGCGACAGCGGGCCGCTGTGAGGTCTTCCTATTCTTCTTATACACTTCGTGGAAACTTTTTCTCTTATGAACCTCGGCCATTTTCAAAGAACTGCGGTGAGAAAGGTGAGCTTCGATGACACCGTAGCTCACCATAGTTATACTGTAAGCCTGAAAGTGCACATGTGCAGAAAAAAGATAGCTAACTAGGGAAAAGCACGTAGGACAGCCTTATGTAAATATTTCACCAGAATGATTTACTATTAGGAGGACAACTTGTTTAGATAATCCACCAAATATAAGATCATCCTCTATATCTTTAAGGCAGAGCAAATACTATCTCCATTAAAATGCTTTTTGCAAATGTCAAAATTTGAAATATATCTAGGTAATAGCATGTATCATGATATTTAAATCCTCTAATATTTGGTAAGCATGAATACAATTAGTGACTGATTTTTGGCAATAATGAAGGCAAGTTAGTGTTGGTTGCCCATCATATGAGTACATCACTTGGTGGGGATTGTTACTTTTGATTTGTCTTTAGTGTGTAAAGCTTGTATGCTCTAGGTCTAGCATCTTTGGTACATGGATGTAAAAACCTCCTTACAGGAAGATCAGATTTTAATGTAATTTGGCAAAATGAGCTGTGTGAACATGGGTAGTCCTAGCCTAAGAAGTTCAATTTGTTTCTGTTTTCTTTGAAGGAACCCAGGGTTCCTGAATATACCTGAATTATTCTCTGGAACCCAATGCCCCTCTTAAAAACAATAGAAATGCACACAGTATTGTTCTTGAGTAAATTCAAACAAATGAAAATCTGTTTTATAGGACTGTTAGAATTATTCATAATAAAGTATTAAGTATTAGACATTTGACTGCATAATTATGCAATACAAAATGTCTGATCCTTCAATTTGCAGAAAAGGATTATTTAGTCATTTAATAGACATTTGAGTCTAATATGTCTATTTCTAAGCCAAAAAACAGCAGGTTTATTAAAATAGTTATTAAGACAGTGGGCAATTCTGGTAAAATGTTTACTCACACTCAATACTGACATTCAGTTAGGTTAAGTGACAGTCTCATTATTCTGTGGAGTTTTTTTAATAATCCAAATAGGTCACACTTAAACACATATACAGTACTGTGAAAAAAACAGTGTTTGTCAATATCGCAGAACTCACTGGATCAGTTTAATATCAGACAAATAAAAGAGAATAATTTTTTCAAGTCAGTTTTTATATTCTTTAAAGGCCGCTTTGACTATCTGTTGTGCATTTTAAATGTTGGAGACTGGCACAACAGCATCAGAAAATCACAAAAACTTTAAACGGAAGTTGTATCGTCAAAAGTGTAATCACTACATCTGCTGTGATATATTTTGCCTTTTTATTCCTTCCTCTCTTTCCTGGCTCCATTACTATGTATAGATTATTTCTATACATTATTTGTACAGATTGACATGGTTCTTGGTAGTTGAAAATATTAATTGATTGATTTGGCCTCACCATGGACAAACCTTATTATACTCTACTGCTTTTAAAAAATTAAGACACTTTCATAAAAGAACAAACTCCCAGTCTTGAAATTACCCAATAAAAGTAATCTATCTGTATTTTATTTGAAGTATTTCATACACCTACAGTAAGGTTCTAAAATCTGTAGGATCTAGGACAGCCTTGCATCTATGGAGGTTCAGAAAACTTAACAAAATGAAACTACTATTTGTGTTTGGATTTTTTGTGAATCTATAGATCAACAGACATGATTTATCAGTCAACATTCAACAGGGAAACTAAATGTTTTATGTGAGGGGATTTGGCAGGAATAATATGACACATATGTACAAATACATATTCATTTATTTCACGTACTTTTTTTACCTTTTATGTTTTTTTTATTTTATTTTTTACAATCTAAATGATTCAACAACAAAATGAAGAACTACCACAACAAAGTCCAAATTTTCTACAGGGTAAAAATTATGCAAATGTCACGTTTGTAAAATTGACACATGTAATTAGTCAATCAGCAGAGATAATGTTAAAGTAAAAAGAAAAAAAAAAAGAGACAAAAACAGGACAAAAGGTATCTGTCTGTACCTCGATATATACCAGGTAATTTTCAGGATGATCAAAGGTTAATGTTAGATCTGAAAGTTGTTAGAACATGGGCTTTTGCAAAATTAGGAACATTTTTCATAAATATTATTATTAGTAAATTCTATAAGCCTTTATATAACCCAGGTGGCAACTGGGGGAACAAGGGCAGAAAATCATCTGTAGAAGCCCTTCCAAACTCAATGAAAAGTTGTTCTTGCTGAAGGTGTGGGTTTGGAATTTTGGCTAATGCAAACCATGAATATTGCTATGTTCTTTTGAATGAAAATCCACACAGGTACATAATGAAGCATCCAGTAAACATTGTACTGAACAGAAGAAATCATGGTCTCTCATTGTTCAGTGAATAAGCATGACGCAGGACTAAACAAAGTAGGTTAATAGCTTAGATACAAATTCATACTGTACATTGTTTAGATAAGTCTGTAACCCAAAAGTAAGGGCTTCTCTTTTTTTACATACAAATTTCAAAAAGTTAATACATGACACCTTTTGCCTTTAGGTCCTCATGGCGACAACTGCTTCCATGCCTCATTTTAGAAGTTCCCAGCTGGCAGTTATGTAAGACTTGTGATGTGCTTTTCATAGCTGAAACATGGTATCCTGGTATTATTTTACAATCCAGTGATTCATGGCATGTCCCATTATCTTAGGTACCATTAAACATTTCGCAACCTTTTTCAGTCATCCTATTTTCAAAAAAATACTTTATACTTCAGGCATTTCCATAATCCAGTCATCCTCTGTGTCTCTCTCTCTATTTATACGTATATTTAAGTTACATCATTTTCATGTTAAAACGACGAGGACCAGCTTGTCCCTCTGCTGAATCAACATTAGTACCATTGGACTTTGACCGAGGTACATACTCAACATCAATGTTGTTTTTATGTTTTCCTTTTCCTCTGCTCCACACAAAAAGGAGCAGGAAGCAAAACAAAACGACTCCCAAAAAGGTGAAACAACCCATAGCTGTGGATACTAAAATAGTCTTCAGGTCCAAACCAAGGGAAATGTTGGCTGTTTCGTTTGCAGTGGCATTGTTGGGGTCTGTATAATGCTGGGTCCTGTTGGCATACAGGGATCCCAGACTTTTCACCGCTAATGAAGCCATAAGTGTGTCATTCCCAGCAGTGTTGGAGGCCAGGCAAATGTACACTCCACTGTCTTGTATCTCAGCAGACTTAATCTCTAATGTGCCATTGTTATGGACCATAAGTCTTCCATGATTCCGACTTGTCAATACTCGTCGACGTGGGGACAACCATGACACAGTTGGCCTTGGTGTCCCTTCAGCACTGCAGCGAAGCATTGCCTGCTGGCCCTCATCAACAGTAATTGTTTGGGTTTTATTCTCTCGAATTTTTGGCTTGGTGCATGTTACATAATAGGACAGGAGAGCTTCCTTAAACTCCTTAAAAGGCCTTCCACGAATCCCCTCAGGTGTGCTGCATTCCGGCTGTGAGTCTCCAAAAAAGATAGAGTGCTTTTTCTGCAGAATCCACATAAGACGACAGTCACACACCAAGGGGTTGTTATCAATCAGTAGAACTTCAAGAGCTTCGGGAGACTGAAATACTCCCTTTTCCAAGGTGTCCAGGTGGTTGTGAGAGACATTGAGGACTTTGAGTCCACGAAGACCTTGAAAAGCGTATGGTTCAATGGCAGTAAGCTGAGCTCCAACTAGATGTAACTCACGCAGACGTACCAGCTGCATCAGCATCCCTCCTTCTATGTGCCTGATACGGTTGTAGGACAAGTTGAGGTGTGTCAGGTAGGGCAGATGCTTAAGGGCTTGGTAAGGAAAAGAGGATAAGTTGGTGTTGGTTATGAACAATGTTGTCAGGTTTAGGCCATGAAGGGTATTAGCGGGCACGTGGTCTAAAGATGGACAGTTATCAATTTCCAAATGCCGAAGCCGGAAAAGCTTATTGAATGAGTACGGATGCAAAGTGCTAATGCTGAGGTAACGGAGATGAAGGCTGACTAGGTTGTGCAGATGTGAGAGGGCCTCAGTTGGTACAACAGTAAGGTTGCATCGTTCTAGTGTTAACTCCTCCAAGCTTAAGAGTCCACTGAATGCACGGTGAGAGATATAGACCAGTTCATTATCACCTACTTCCAAAGCCCTCAGATTATGCAAATCCTGGAACATATAATCCAAAAGGACGACAATTTTATTGTCACTTATATCAAGTTGAGTAAGATTAGTTAGGGCTGTGAAAACACCCAAAGGGAGGAGCTTGATTCGATTACTCTTAAGACTGAGTGAGTGCATGTTAAACAAGGCATTAAAAGCTCCAGGCTCAACATAGCTGATAAGATTTCCACTGAGGTCAAGCTCCTCCAGCCCAGGGAAGGCAATAAAGTCATCAGGGTTGATCATTGTGAGCTTATTTTTACTCAGATCCAAGATCCTGGTCTCTGTTGGGATGCCATCTGGGATGGTGGGCATTCGCTTGCGGTGACAGACAACTGCCTTGGTCTGTGCTGAGCACTCACAGCGTGAGGGACATCCCAAGGTAGAGCCGACAAAGGCAGCCATAAGTGCCAGTCCAAGAAATGGCTGCCAACATGAGACAACCGTGTGCAGCATGACTCTGTTCATACAGTCCACCATTCTGTCACGGTTCTGAAAAAAAGAAGAAGAAAAAAAGAGAAACAGGCAATCAGATAGTGACTCATGGTGGAAAAAAAACCTGCATTCCTGTAAAATATTTTTGTAAATAATCTAAAAAATACTTTATCTGCTTCACCAGTACTTGGTTGCTTAACAGTGGGAGGCTGTAGTAGATAAATATCTAATCTCTGTCTTTTAGTTTAAATCTGGTAAACAATTTAAAATCTCCACACCAACTGAATAAAAAGAGCCCCTGGTTTTGCATTAATTTATAACATTTTAAATCTAATCACAAAGTAAGATGTTTTATTTTCAATGGTGTTTCTTTTTGAGTGTTAGGGATCCTAAACCTACCCTGTAAATGTCATGAATTATTGGTCAAATATGAGCTGTTAAACTTCAAAGATGTAGTCATTGAACAGAATTAAATGCACGCTAAATTGAACTTGATTATTTGAGTCTGTTGGGCAGAAATCAGCTGCTTAATCTGCTCTCGGACTCAGTTTCCCCTCCGCTCTGTTAGTTTTTAGAAGAAACTCTCATTGGGACTTGAGGATCCATATTTTGACGCTCACAATGAAAGTAGGGCCCTAATTAATAAAACCTAAAAATCGTTCATTTCCTTTGAAGGTTACTATATAGTAGGAGTGTTGGCCTAATGGTTAGAGCAGTGCGCTTGTGCTCTGAGAAGGTTCACTCTGAGTTCTTGAGCAAAACTCTTAACCCCACACTGCTCTCCGGGCACCACACAATGGCAGACCACTGCTCCCCAAGTGGATGGGTTAAATTCAGAGAGTGAATTTCCCCATTGTGGGACAATGAGGGGATTTACATTTACATATATGGGATCGGTGCGGCCTGGGGGCAGCTCATGAATCTGGCTGCTTGATGCTGATTGAACAATCTTAAAGATTTGACTGAAGGTGGCCAGGCAGAGGAGACGTTTTCCTCATGAGACTCAGACAAGGGGAAACAAACAATAATTCGATCATAACAGTCATCTTGTGCAAAACTTCCCAGGGTTTTAGTCGTTAAGAGCTCTGTGCAGCGCTTTTTATTCTATTAAAAATCAACACATATTTTCTTTACACAATGTTTGTTTGCTTGTGAGTTTTGCATAAAAATCCCAATGATGTGTAAGGAATCTGCTGCCTGTAACAAATCGTAAGGCACAGTGATAAACAGTATTTAAAAAGACATTTGGTTAAAGCATTCATTTATAAAACAGTTCCATAATCCAGGGATTGTTAGAAGGTTGCTAATACCAATTTTCTTCTAGAAAAACAGAGAAAAACAGGATACAAAGTGATAAGAAAACTTCAATCTCAGTATTCTTAAAAAAATTATTATGTGCTTTTAAAGGAAAGCCTTTAATCCAATATACAGTAAAACCAAGATGTTTATGATTAATGACAAACCAAATTTGTGCACCTTATGCCATGGTAAGCAATAAGGAGCTCTTCGATAATCTCTGGGAGTGCAAGAAGACCACCTTCATCTTATCCTCATTCAAATGACATTAACTGACAATGGCATTAACTGACTAACATTGATGCTACAAAAAGAGGCGCTGCCAAATGACATTTAATGAAGATAATGGAAGTCAGTAGTCGCAGTCTTTAGATCTAATTTATGTTTTCTGCATGAAAGGACTCATTTTATGTAGGAGGATATTATTGTAAACATCATGCTTTTAAGATATGCATTTTTAATTTCCTTTCTAAAGGTCTGTTGATAATAACTACAAATGGATTCAATTATGTTGTGACTTCAAAACATGGAAAACAATAATTGTTTCACGAGTGAAAGTTCAGGGTTCCATCTGTTTAATTACTGCGAGAATAAAATACTTTCAGGATGAATGTCTGACATTTATATCTATTAATTAATTGTTATTATTTGTTTTAGTTATTTTTTCTGCTGTAACATCAAAACAAACTTCTAGAGGTCAGTTGTTGTTTATTAGCAAGCTCCTTAGGTTTATTACCAAGAAAAACAAGACTTCATGATTTAAAACAAGTATAACGCATAAAAAAGGTACAATATTTACAGATTCTGAAAATCTGAAAATTTTTGACCTATGAGGCAGAAACTCTAAAAACACCAGAGATGATTTGGCTTTAATTGGAGCTGGCAGAGTCAAGCAATCATAGCTCAGGTTATTTATTAGTCTTCTTGCATGTCATGCAAAGTGGACCCCGACTGGCCATGTATGACTTCTAATTATTTAACAACTAATTATCCCTACAGCTTCTATATGCCCTAAATAAAGATATTCAAATTCCAAGGACATAATAATACTTGACTTAATTGTAGATCCGGAGGTCAGATAGTTTCAGTTATGTATCCTGTTGGCAAAGGTGCTATTTAAACAAGAAAACATTAAAATTATTATAAAACTCAATTATAGTCCTCATGTATTTGAATGTGAGCTATGGGGATATACACAATCTTAATCTGGTGAGTGACTACCACTGCAAAAACAAAGCTTAACATAGCCTAAAATAAATGAGATTGGAATAATAGCATTCAATTTCAATACATGACTCTGTAACTTCTGCATTTTGCTCACCTTAAGTGTATATTAAGTTGTAACTGAGTTTAACTAGTTGTGATGACATTTATCCAAGTGTGCACACCCTGGAAGCTCAGGAAGCACTTATTTCAACAAGGTAGTTTAAGGATTTAGATTACAACCTGATCTTTGTGCAATCAGCCAATAAACGGTACCTCAGAAACAGTTTTTACTCTTTCTCTCAGGAAAGGTTTTCATACTGTTTGATAGGGCCCCCAAGCACTGATCACTGCACATGATGTGATTTGTTCTCACACTAAAAAGCTTCACTGTGCTTCTGGTGCTTGTTGTAAGACACCTGCTCTCTTAACTGACCAATCGTCAACACCCTTTAAACATAATCATAAGGATTTCTGTATTTTATTTGAATTGTGGATGAACAGAGCAGTTTTGGATGGGAAGTGAAGGAAAACAATAAACTGGGGAAATATTAAATGGTCCATAATGTGTGTTCATCCAGTGTGTGAATCTGTTACATGCTTGGTGCAGTAGTTGTTCATTGAGCTCTGAAGTGCATCAGAGTCTGGTATTGCTGTTCCAAAAAAACAAAAAAGTTAAAATGTTATAAGAGGTTAAAAAAAAAAAGCATTAGAATTATTTAAATAAAAAATACATCAAAATCTAGTCCAAATTGTTTCATATATGCAAAAACAATAGTTGCTGAGCAATTAGGAGACTGTAATTAAAGACTTTCAGTTTCTGTAATGCGGTTTTACTCATTCTAATTCAGTAACTTAATGATAACATTTGTTTAGCTAAAGTGACTTGTTTTTCTATGAAATGTATATTTTAAACCTGAAGTTAACAGTAGCTAGAATTTCTTACTTTAATAAATAGGTTTATTTACGGGGACTGAATATGAAAAAATAACATTTTTTATTTATTCCTTTTTTGTTAATATCTGAAAAGGTGGCATGTTGCTCTGTTTATTCTAAAACCCTTATATCAAATTTAACAGCTGTACAATCTTAGTATAAATACAGCACTACTGAGAAGGCCAGAGAAGCTAGACAACTGTTAATTATGCTACAAAGGCACAATGAAGACCAAGAAACAAACCAGAGACACCCTGTGTGGTAGAGAATGATCTCTTCCAATTACTGAGAGAACAAAATTACCCCCATGAAAGACGGTGGCAGCATCATGCAGAAGGGATTTGTTTCTTTTACAGGGGTACAGGACAGCCAAGTTGGACAGAGCTAAATGGTCCTGGAAGAAAACCTGATAAAGGATTCAAAAGACTAGTTTGGAGTTTCAATCCAGCAGTACTACAATTGGGCTAAACAAGCAGTTAGAGATGTAATGGAAAGGTTCAAATCAAAGCATATTCAACTGTTGTTATGGCCTAATCAAAGCCCAGATATGGAGGATCTGTGGTCAGTCTATTAAACTAACATTCACATAGGATGTTCATCTGATCTATGGTTATTTTGCGAAAGAGAGTATGTAAAGATTTGATTCTGTAGATGTTCAAAGCTAGGGGAAATCTGTCCTATTTTGGATTTTTGCAGCAAAATATGATTCAACAAAGTATTGACTTTGGCAGTAAAACCTAAAGCACAACATTCCTTTCTGATTTGTGAAAATCCTCTAAAAACATGTTGGATTTTCCCTCTACTTCCAATTTAGGAACCTCTTTGTGTTGGTCTATCACATACAAACCAGCAAGGTGAACTTTAGCCAGGAGTTCAGTTACAGTAAATCTAACTTTAAATATAAAAATGTCAGAAATCAATAAAGTACTGGTGGTTTAGAATAAAAAACAAGTTAGCCCAGATTTACAGCTTGTAATTAGCCCATCTTTTTTAAATTACCATCTGTTGGTAATCGTATGGGGTACAGTTAAGTGGGAAGAGGCAGCATAGCTCTTTGCCTCATCCATATTTGAGAGGATCTTAAAAAAGGCAAACATGTCAAATATTGTAACAAAATACTTTCCCAGGAAGTGCCATGGATACAGTTAAAAAACTTCAACCAGAACATTTTACACAAATATCTGATTACGTGATGAAGCATGCAGTAAAATACACATAAACAAAGGTTCTAGATTTCTATTTCCTGAAAATTAAGGTGAAAAAATTATACAAGCATATTGTATAATTCATTAAGAAAACAACACAGCAAAAATGAAGCCTATTATAGTCGCATGATTGAGGGTTTTGGGACCTTGAGCCCTTAAAAGAGATGATCAACAGCCTTGGGGCAATATTAGCATTCCATGCAGAAATCATCCTTCTGCTTGGCTTGCAGAGCGAAGTTAAAGCTCAGTTAATCCGTGTTAATTAGAGATAAACTTGGTAGATTGAGTCTGTTTCTCCTGTTCAGCCCGATCACGCTTGGTTTCGAAATGAGTCAAGAATGCTGGATCAGAAAAACTATCTCCATCCATCCCACAGGAAAAGCTCTGCAGCGCTGACTGTTAATCCCGTGTTTAGTA